CAATTATTTGTAAAAATAAGACAGGTGGGATAAAAATCTAATAAATAATAAAAATAAAAATAAATGAACCATAGACCATTTATTCTATCTTATTCCTAATCAATTCAATTGGATTATTCCTTCATGAGGATTGAAGGTAGCATTAACTAAAAAGTCCTGATTTTTAAAAATTTTTTAATCAAGAACACCCCCCACCCCGGTCAATGGTGTCCCTCTTTACCAATGTTAAAATCTGGTCACCTTATATAAGTATAACCTTCCCCCCCCCCAAAAGGAGGGGGAAAATCTGGGTGCGTCTTATACACTGAATACACCATTTTTGACTTCCTAAAACTCCACCCTCTTCACAAAAATGGATGTATAGAGGGTTTGGGAGGCCTGCAAAGTGCTTCTGGTGGCAGGGGAGGGGAAAAACAAGTGAAAAACAGACCTTTTTTGCTTGTTTTTGCCCCCCCCCCCAGTCCCCAGGAGCAGTCTACGAGCCTTCTAAACCTTTAGAATCTAAAGGATATGCATGCCCTTTTTTTGATAAAAAACATGCAGTTTTTTGCTCATTTTTGCCCCAAAGAGCACTCTACAAGCCTACTAAAGGCATGCACTTTTTTGGCAAAAAAACAGGCCTGTTTTTGTAAAAACTGGACCATTTTTTGCTCGTTTTTGCCCACCCCAGCACCCCAGCACTTTGCAGGCCTCTCAAACTCTCTGCATGCTCCGTTTTTCACAAACAATGACTCGTGCAGAGAGTTTGGGAGGTCTGCAGAGTGCAAAAACTTTTTTTAAAAAATTACCTCTTCAAAATCTTGGTGCGTCTTATGCTCTGGTGCATCTTAAACTCTGAAAAATATGGTACTCAAAATTTCTGCTATCAGAACTGGTCAGAACTTGTTGAATACCACCTCTGTTCTGGTCAGTTTTACTTTGATGTAGATGGTTTTTTTCTGATACTCTGGCTGAAAGGCCCCGAGTATTTTAATGGAACAAGTAGCTAAAGCTCTATTAGAAAGCAAACAGGAAGCCAATATGTTGTTTTGTACATTTCTTTTAAACAAATTCATGAAAAACCTAGATAGTGAGAAGAGTTCCTTGAAAAGGTACCTGAAGCTGGGTCAAATAATGCCAGCTGCTATTTGCACATTGATTTTCTTTTCTTTTTTCCCCTCTGGAAGAAAGAAAATTGGACTATTGTGTGCCTCACCCTCTAGACTGTCTCCATATATATGAATTCATTTCAGTTTTTATTAGGGATATTTCAGTTATGGGGCCTGATCATTTCTGAATGTGCTCATGGTGTAATGAACCTTAACACACATCTTTTCCCCATTTGTTTGGGTTTTAAGTTGTGCAGTGGGTATACCTACATATGAAAGATATAGTGCATGTGAGGATCTATGAAACTAGAAACTAATAACGGACAATAAGAACACAGAGGGTGTCATTTTAGACTCCTGCCAATAGATGGCAGCAGCAGCTTTGGAAACGGAAAGATGTGCTCCCTGATAATCTAATCAATGTGGTCTCCTCCCTTTGCATTCACTTCTGAAACATTTAACCCATGTATGGAAGGCAAAACAATATGGCTAAATGTTAAACTAGTTGAATAACCCGATGTCCTTAGTTGTCCTTAAATTGAATCATACAAAACATAAAGAGATTAAAATGAACTATATATTGCTACTTTTATTTCCTTTCTGTAGATTTGGGGGAGCCATTTCTACAAATTAACTGAGACTGAAAATAATGTAGTTTTCTGAAATTAAAAAAAAATATTCTGGGAAGTTTCAGCTTGACAAATACATGGTTAGAGAAAACATTCTGAATTGAATAAACTGGTGCTGCACTGCATTTGTTTAGATCAGAATTGGGCAATATTGGGATCGGGGTGGGTTCTGGCTTCTGCTCCTGCTGGTTCATTCAGC